GAGAGAGAGAGAGAGAGACAGAGAGACAGAGAGAGAGAGAGATACCGTGACAGCGAGAGAGACACTGTGACAGCGAGAGACAGAGAGGAGAGAGACAGCGTGACAGAGAGAGAGAGAGAGGGTGAGAGAGAGACAGCGAGAGAGAGAGAGACAGCGCGACAGAGAGAGAGACAGAGAGAGAGACAGACAGAGAGGGACACCGCGACAGAGAGAGAGAGAGACAGCGAGAGAGAGAGAGACACAGCGAGAGAGACAGCGTGACAGAGAGAGAGAGACACCGTGACAGCGAGAGAGATACCGTGACAGCGAGAGACAGACAGAGAGACACCGTGACAGCGAGAGAGAGAGAGAGAGACAGCGAGAGAGAGAGAGAGAGAGAGAGAGACACCGTGACAGCGAGAGAGAGAGAGAGAGAGACAGAGAGACAGAGAGAGAGAGAGATACCGTGACAGCGAGAGAGACACTGTGACAGCGAGAGACAGAGAGAGAGACACCGCGACAGAGCGAGCGAGAGAGTATGGGAGAGTGAGAGACACCGTGACAGAGAGAGAGAGACAGAGACACCGTGACAGAGAGAGAGAGAGAGAGAGAGACACCGTGACAGAGAGAGAGAGACAGAGAGAGACAGCGAGACAGAGAGAGAGACACCGTGACAGCGAGAGAGATACCGCGACAGCGAGAGAGAGAGACAGCGAGAGAGAGAGAGAGAGACAGCGAGAGAGAGAGAGAGAGACAGCGAGAGAGAGAGAGAGACAGCGAGAGAGAGACACCGTGACAGCGAGAGAGCGAGCGAGAGAGACAGCGAGAGAGACACCGTGACAGCGAGAGAGACACCGTGACAGCGAGAGAGACACCGTGACAGCGAGAGAGACAGAGACACCGTGACAGCGAGAGAGACAGAGACACCGCGACAGAGAGAGAGAGACAGAGAGAGAGACACCGTGACAGAGAGAGAGAGACAGAGACACCGTGACAGAGAGAGAGAGACAGAGAGAGAGACCGTGATAGAGAGAGACACCGCGACAGAGAGAGAGAGACAGAGACACCGTGACAGAGAGAGAGACAGAGAGAGACACCGTGACAGAGAGAGAGAGAGACACTGTGACAGAGAGAGAGAGAGAGAGAGAGACACTGTGACAGAGAGAGAGAGAAGAGACAGACAGCGTGGGAGAGAGAGACACCGTGACAGAGATAGCGCGAGAGAGAGAGAGAGAGGCAGACAGCACAGGAAAGAGAGAGAGCACGGTGGGGAGTAAGAGAGAGGGGAACGGCACGAGAGAGAGACACAGTGGAAGAGACCGAGCACGAGAGAGAGAGAGAGAGAGGGAGCAACCGAAAGAGAGAGAGAGAGAGAGAATGATGGTGGGGTTGAAGGGCTTGTCGTATGAGGAGGGGCTGAGGTCTCTGGGTCTGTACTCGGTGGCGATTAGAAATGGGGAATGGGGTGGGATCTGAGCAAAACTTACAGAACAACAGGAGGCCTGGACAGAGTGGACATGGAGATGATGTTCCCCCCCACCAAGTAGCAGAGACCAGGACCCGGGGGATACACAGCCTCAGAGTGAAGGGGCAACCCTTTGGAACGGAGCTGAGGAGGGTGGGGGGTGAATGTGCGGACCTCGTTACCAGGGAGGGGCTGTTGGGGGGGTAAGTCGTTGGGCGTGACCGGGTCCAAGGGATTACATAGGAATGGGGGTCGGGAAACGCACCAGGCACGGCTGAGCGGTGGGGCAGGCTCGATGGGCCGATCGGCCTGATCCCGCTCCTGTATCTTATGAACAGAGAGATAGAGAG